ATCGCGCACCTAATAATTAAATAAAGTTATAATAAGATTATATAATAATTACATCATAATTTATTATCAATATTAGCGTTATAAAAATAACAACCTGGTTATTAATATCGACTGCACCTTTTGAAGAAGAGTATTCAGAAAAGATTTTAGACCGTATAAATTTAACCAATGACGAATTATTATGATCCTTGACTATACGTTCAACTTCATCACCTTGTGTTGTAGTTGATGCTGTTGCAATAATGCACTGTGGTTTTCTATCTTTTAAAGAAGCCGCAATTAAATATACACCATTAACAATTGCAACTTTTGAGAAATACGATCCATACGTATTTTCAAGTTTTTGAATCATGTCATGGGGATAATTAAGAGGCCAGCTACGTTTTTTCTTAATATGAAAGATACCATATAATCCGTTTTGCATTAAAAGCAAGCAAACCTTTGGTGACCCAAACCAACTATCACCAACTATAGTACGCCCACTTCCAAACCATGGCCGTGCTAATCGAAGTACATAGGCAGCAGTACTACCATATTCTGATACAAACTGCTTTTTTTTCGATTTTCTTTTCCTCACAGGGTTCTAGCTGAATGATAATATTTGTAGAACCATCAGCAATTACTTTCCACTCTTGTCCAATTAGATGTGGTTTTCGTGGTATTTTGCGACGACCAGAAATTTTATTTTTTTCACCTAACCATGAATTCATGGATTCGTCAACACATAAAGTATTTCCAGGCTTTATAGCTTCAACTAGGTTGTTATTAAAATTGTTAATAAAACTGCAAACAGAATATAAAGGATCATTAAGATCCGGAGTTTCTAATTCACTTGGCATCATTAAAGTATGGTATAACACTATTTGTTCAAATCGTGAACGACTCATCCAATGTTGAAAATTGAATAATGGTATAGGCTGTGTCTGTTCTTGATTTGTTCTCCAATAAAAACGACGATCAGCAACTAGAAAAACGGACATTAACACCCATAAGCCTAACCATCTCATATATTCATTAATAGTTATATTTGTCCAATTTGAAGTAACTCTTTCACGTTTATTAATAGAATTAATTACAAACTGTTCAATATAATCTAGTGGAAGATATCGGCGAAATAATTCATATGGCGAAGCCAAACTTACTGATGGAATATTAATTTTGCAATCTTGGTTGTATGCAAGATAAATTGCACGTTGGTCAATAGTTATTTGTTGCTCACGCCAGTTTACTGTAACAATAAGGTCAATTACATCCATGTCATTTCTATCATTGTTTTCTTCTAAGTCATTTTCACTATCATCACTACTATAAGAAATATCTTCGTAAGCTGGTAAAGTCAATGACGATTCTGTAACTAATTCTTCTCTATTTGGAGTGGCTTGTTTTTCATACTTTAGATTACCTGCAAGAACATCTACAGTAATATTTCCAATTTCTTCAAAACGAACTTGATATTTTCGGCGTCTTTCTGCAGTTAGCTCTCCAACAATTGTGCCATAAAGACGTAGGTTTTTCAAATTTCTTTTACGTTCTTGTAAATTTTGTTCAATTATTTCCTTTGGTAATACCGATGCTCTACAGCTAACTCGCCTGCCAACAATTAACTTGCATGATATTCTTGCCATTGTGTATAATAACAAATAATCAAATGCTTAACTATTTAAAAATTTAACTACTTTTTGTATTACAACTTATACTTTTTTAGACCCATATCTATGAACGTATGAATATATCCATGGTACACATTTTTTATTTCGTAAATATTCCAATTAAATTATTATTTTTAGTCTAAATATGGATATCAGACTATTAAACTATACATACTTTGACCGGGTTATAACTTGTTAGAACAAGTTTATATAAGTGGGAATTATTTAGAAAGTGTTATCAAGATTTGATCTGCAATGCTAATCAAACCCTGATAATTCTTCCCAGAAAAAACCTGCTTGCGCCTAATTGCTAAAAGCATACTGATGATTTTAAATTATCAAAACGAGTTTTATATATTTATCTTTATATCGCATAAATTTTATATAGTAGTTCGCGATATTTTTTATTTTATTTGAGTTTTAAATCTGTACTAAATTTAGTATATTGTACTAAATTTAGTACAGCAAACGGATACCCATTAAACTTTTTTTGTCTTGTGTGTAGACTCCCTAGGATATTCAGTATCTAAACCAGAAGAATATTTTGAAATCTGATTTTATTTTAGAATAGATTGTTGTCAACAAAATTTTTTTTTTTTTACCTTCGCAATGTTTGGAAAAGTGAATTTTTATTAGGTATTTTAGTAGTACATTCTTGGTTTGCGAGAGTATATATAGCCACATATGCAACTTTTGGTTGCCTAATTTAAGTAGTCTGCCTGAAGGTTTTATACTATATACCATACCTATAATCTAACTAGAAGATTACTTATTTAAACCCTCTGACATCCTCATTCTGCACCACCACTACAATCACACCAATCTATAACCTTGTGCTGCTTCTTATTAAAGACCATCCAGATTGATATCTGCTATACTACTTGTACTCTAATTCTATAGATAAACTAGTAGGATTCTCATATTACTAGGTTGCTTTAGGGAGGATATAGTATATACTCCCTAATCTTTCTATGTTCTATATACTTCTAGATTAGGATACAAATACCTACTGTAGCAGCTGAAACCACTACTAGCAGTTAGAACGAACTATTAAACTGCATAATTCCAGTATTTAATACTCTTGCAAGGTTCGTTCCGATCCCAATACTCACATCAAGCCAGTCTTTATACCGATCCCTCCCCAATTACCAAATCAGTTAGCCTGGACAGGTTGTTGTATCTAGGCTTTAAGTGCCTTCTGGTTTTACTCTTCTTGGTTTCTAATTCCATAGCATAGGACCTTTTCCTCCGGTGTGATTCCAGCAGCCAGGTTGGTAAACCCTTCTTGTCTCAGGGTTTTCATCTGGTTTTTCAGTCTCCGGTTTCTGACTTTTCCATAGTATCATCAAAGATCTTCACTATCTCCTTACTCAGGTCTTGCCAAATGGGTTTTAATTATTTTGGTTCCTTGAATTTGGATCACCTAAGAGCTTCCATTTTAAGATGGTAGTACCAAGATTACAGGTAATATACTCAACCGATTGACAAATAATTGTTACCAAAATACAGACCTATTTTTCTAAAAACATCTTCAGTAGAATTCAAACTCTAAACCTACTACTTGGGGGTGACAACTTAACCACTACTTTAAGTCGCTACACCCTTTTAACAAAATTTAAAAGACATGAAATACTGAAATATAAGCATATTTTAGATAGTTTTTTTTAGAATCAAGCTTTGGATCTTCTTTTGGTAAACTCTCCAAAATATTTAGCATCCAAATCAGAAAGATATTCTAGAAATAAGTAGTGATTAAAAAGCCTTCACTAAGATAGTAGAAGCTTAAAGAATTGTCAATGTAATTATAAAACTTATAGAGGAATCTTTTATGTTTTTATTAACTTTTTGCTTTTTTCAAAAAAAATTTTGTAAAAAAGTAGACAATTTAGCTTATCTCCTTCAAAAATTAGACATATTGTTTACTTATCAAATTAGTCGAATTGTTTATTTTTTTACCTATTATTCCTTAAATTGTAATACAAGCAAATTTGTCTGCATTTATTTTTTTAAACTTTATTTTTTAATAAAATTTCAAATATTAATTTTAGCAATATACTTTCTAATTAAAAAAGACTTTTAAAGATCTACTTTAT